TGACTTCCAGAACCGTATTCTTGCAGCTTACCTATAATTATTTTTTTTCTGCACACTGGAATGGAATGATCCTTGTAAAGATAAACTAAATCAGATCACTTTTCTGCCAGGGAAATTTTGTTTCTTCTTTGCAACCTTTAAGAATAAGCCAAAATTTCTCAGTATGGCACAAGGCCCTTCCCTAGGCCTCTCTCCTCAGCTTATCTGTCTCTGGCCAGTTTTCTTATCCTTCACACAGCAGCTACATAGAGGGACACTGAGTTCTTCAACCACAGCATGTGCTTGCTCATCTCTGTAACATTCCGACTGCTCCTGACTTCTGGAATGTTCTTTCTGCCCCACCTTCCCCTGTCAACTTCTCTTGTCCTTCAGACCCTGCACATGCCTGGCCTCCCCAAGAATAACTTCCCAGCATGCCTTGCACTCTTATGGCCATGCTTTTCCTTGCGTATCTCATCCACTTACCTGCAAGCTGCCTTTGTACTTATGCATTGTGATAACTGTCACACGTACAGTGTTGCACAGATCCCGGGGAAAACACCAGGAGCAAACTCAATTGCTCAAAAGGAGAAAGCTCCCAAGGCATATATGCTCATTGGCCATTGTTTCCTGGTGTAACCCTTGTCAGCACTCATCTTCAGCCTTCAGGGTATCATCCCACTTTGAATAATAAATTTCTTGCCCAACCTGTGCCTAAGCTCACACTATGGACTCCCTTGACCTCTGTGGATTCTGAATCAAGAGAGATCCAATGAACAGGTAAAGCAGAAAACAGAGTTGAAGTGGGGGGGTGTATGTGAGCTTGAGGAGAAGAAGTTTCTGGGATGTTGTGGATGGGAGATGTTATCTCCAAAGAAACTGTATCGACAACTGTCCAGGATGGCCTCGATGCCTAGGACAGAAATAACATTGCACTTCCAGCAACCTTAGCTCAGGGTACAGATCATCATGTTGCCTCTCTCTGAGAAGACAGGAGGATGGTAGCTTTCTAACGTACAGAAAACAACATCTGTACTAAAGTGGGAAAGCCTTGCACAGAATCCCCTCTTTTTCCTGTCACAGTCCCGAGTTTTAGTTGCTTCCTACTCCACTTGGTAGACTGTCATCCCTCCAAGAAGCCTCCGGGCAATGGATCAAGACTAGACCTGAAATTCCTAGGTTAAGAGAGGGGGTACATGACTAGATAAAGGACTAGCAAACAAGCAAATGGGAACTGATACCCAAAATCTATCAGTCAACTTTTCTATCATTATAGCAAATCATGAGATAATCTACTTTAAAAAGAGGAAAAGGTAATTCGGGTCATAGTTTTAGAGATTCAACCCACAGTCAGTTGGCCTGTTATCTTCTGGACCATGTCGAGAAGTACACTGAGGTCTGGGTAGATGGTGGAGAATGGCCACTCACCTCCTTGTGTCATTTGGGGAAAAAAAGTCAATAAGAGTTTGGTATCCCACAGTCCCCTTTCAGGTCATACTGCCAATGACCTTAACTTTCTTCTGGGCTTCATTTCTTCTGTCATCTATCTCTATAGAACCAGTACCTAAAACAGCATCACCCCACACATGCCACAGCCAGTTATGTGTGAGAACTGAGAATAATTCAATCTCTGGGAGCTACACAGGATCTGGGGATGGCTGAGTAGGCAAAAGTCAAAAGAGAACCACAGCCAACTTCCTCCCAGTGACAGCATGAGAGGACTCCAGGCTAGGCACTAGGTTGGGTCTGGGGTAGGGGAGATGTTTTTAGCAAGACGGTCTAGACAGAGGAAGAGAGCTGCTTTCAAACTGAAAAGTACACTCCAGAACATGGCTGCTGGGTCTCTTACGGGTCATGAGCAAACTGGAGATGGAGAAATCATTTTTTGTTTGTTTGTTTGTTTTTAAGAAATTAACAGGATACCAGCTCTCAGGAGAAATGAGGTAACAGAAATATGAGGTCACTGGTTCTCAAGACGAATGGGAAATCCAGTTCAGAGTAACTGTCTTATAGTCACACTCACCGACCCTGACACTTATCAATGCCATAGTGTCAATTCTGCAGGAACACTGAACTTAAGAAGGGAAAGACAGGTACCAGAGGTCAGGTTCACTTCTGTCTATCATCCAGTCTCCTGGGAGATCTGTGCCTCCCTCACCCTGTGCAGATCTCAAATGCATACGAAAGATCAGATTCAGGGAGACAGAGGAAAGGCCTGCAGGTGGCAATTGGTGGCCCACATATAAAAGTCACTGTAGTGCTTAGAGTAGGAATGTCCCCATAGGCTCTGCAGTTGGTGGCACCGTTTGGAAATGTTAGGAGGTGTGGCCATTGTGGAGGAAGTGCATTGTGGGAGTGGTATTTGAGTGGTTACACCCCACACCCAGTTTGCTCCCACTGCTCTGTGCTTGTGGTAGGGATGTAAGTTCTCTGTCATTGTCCTGCCCTCTTCCACTTGCTGCCATGCTGCCCGACCATGGTGGCATCTCATCCTCCTGGAACCCTAAGCAAAAATGAACTTTTTAAAAAAAATTGTTTTGGTCATGGTATTTTATCATAGCACCAAAGAGTATTACTACATTAATCATTTCTGAGCTCATTGCTGTATATTTTCAAGCCAATCATTACAGTAGCCCAAGAAAATTTATATTTAATAAAACTGAATCTCAGGAAGGTTAAATGAACTAAATTTGCCATCCTCTGACCCAAGTTGCTTCTCAGTATTCCCTACAGGCCTGTTCACACTCCCCCTTTCCACCACACAGACCTCTTCACCTAACTGGGCCCTGGGACTCTTAGCTATTCTGGGACAGTAATGTACATATAGGAACTTCATGTTGTTGCCATTAATATGTTTTATAAGACCAAACTTTCTCCAGGGTATGTTTATATTCATATGATAACCTTCCCACCAGCCAAATACACTTCTTGTCAGATGACACTTTCTTGGCCAGGATCTCAGGTGTCACATTTATCAAAAGGAAACCAGATAAACATGGACAGCATATAAACACCTCAAGGCTTCCAAACCTATTCCCTGTCTGGTTCTCAGAACCCCACGATCGCCCTTACAGAGGCTACATACTGTGTCGGGGATCTGATTCTCCTCTCTCACAACCCTGGCTCAGAGGGAAGTCCTCCAGATACCTGAGACCCACTTTCTGCTTCATACTAGGGAAAAAAATTACATTTGGATTCTACAGAGCCTGAGAGTTGTGAGCTAGGTCAGGCCTCTGTCCACACCTCTCCACAGAAATCCACTGTTCTTCACAGCCTCCACTTACAACGTCTGCCTTGTCCCCAAAGACCTGTTCCTGAAAACCATGGGAAGAGACGGAATGACACCCAGTGGGCTTAGAGGCTGGCCCTTCTGAGAGACCCTGCTATAGGATAGATAGTCCGGGTCTTGTGCACTGGTGTTTGTCCCCATTGTTTACTCAGAAGCTTCTAGATGAAGACCCCACCCCTTCTGTTTCTGTAGGCTCTCAGAGGACAGCATTTCAACACAATCATCCTCCTGTATTATACCAACTCTTTATACATGCAATTATTTTATTCCACTAAGAGTTTTCCAAACTCACACAGGTTTTCTATGAGACAGACAAGGAAACTGAGGTCCCACAAAGAAAGTGACATGCCCAAGGCTCACTGGTTGGTAACATGAAGGGCAATCTGAACCCATGTCTCCCCAGCCCCTGTGCACGGCTGTTCCCAAAGGCTGTCTGTTCCCCATTAATAGACCATGAAACAGTCTATAAAAACCAGAGGAATGTCTAGTGCTAGAGGACCCTAGCAGCCAGGGAGTTCAGATTTCTTAACACGAATTGTATTGCAGACAATTAAACTATTTAAAGTGTTTATCCCAAGATCTGGTGATGGGGAGAGGAAAGGAGGCTAGGGCGCAGAGGAGCTTGAATTGAAACTTGTGCTGCCACAGGGAAGGGTGGGGAGAGGATGATGCCAGAGCAGGTGCTGACAGTGTGCCCAGCTTTTGTGAGCGTCAGCGGTTGAAAGACATGCATTTGATATTCAAAATAGTAGACTTTATCAGAAGTCTTCTGGGCTTCAGACTCATCCCACGGCCATGTCATTGCAAAGGAACCACGTGGATGCGTGTCATAGATTCATGATGTATGTGGTCCTCACAGGTAAGCGAGGTGCTCTGTCTTGTGAGCTTGAAGTTCTGAGAAGTATAAGCCAGAAGGGGCAGAGGGGGAGGACTGATAATACCGAATGCCATTTAAGGTCAGGCTGGCTCCTCAGACCTGGGAGAAGGCAGGGAAACCTTTGCTTGGGGACTGGAAATGAAGAGGAGGGTGTGCACCCAGCCACCACGAGGGATGAAGTGACTTGGAGGATAAATCTCCCGAACCCAGATGCCCCTGTTTGTGCCTTGGAGTCTGGACACATGCTTTGGAATTAGACATCAGCTTGAGGGTTTTATTCTTGTTGTGTAACTTGGATACTCTAAACATTCCCCTTGCAGTTTGTGGCAGGTAGTCCAACTTTTTGCTTTCAGTAAGGAGGAGGGAGCAAATTCCCATCTGTATTTTGCAGGAGGAGAATCCAGAGCCTGTCATTCTTCCCTGAGGAAAACTACAGCAGAGATCTCTTAAACCATGATTGAGGTAAGAAGGAAGTGGGGTCTGTTTGTTGTTTTCTTCACTTTAATAAGATGAAGTCTCGCTAAATCAAAGGCAGGGGTCACCAGGACCCCTGGATGAGGTGAGACCAAGATAAAATAAAACGCTTCAGTGTTAAAAAGGCACATGGTACTTCTCAAACCAGGGTCACACAGATGGCCTCACTTAAGCACAGGTCACAAAACAAAGCCAAAGGATATGTTCGTGGGGAAGGAGAGAAGGGAGAAGGGCAAGGCGACAAGGGTGGCAGGTGAAGGCAATTGGAAGCATTATATACACGCTTAAATAGTAGCAAAGCGCATGATTCAATGGTCATTTGTGTTATCTCAAAAAGTGCAAGAGAGACATATTCAGCCAGGTTTGTGACCCTAAAAAATCTTCTAAATTTTACTTTATTATGGGGATTGATTATAGATTAAATACAAAAGCCTTTGTTTGCTTATAGCTAAGTGAAGGTGTCATATGGTATCATACACTGTATGGTTTTCACTGGGTCCTACAGAGTGTCCATATACCTCACCATTGTGAGTGAGGTAGCCAAAGAAGTCTCAAGCTCATGCTGGGAAGCCTGGCCAGCTGTGGTGGCGTCACCTCACGCTAACAGTCGGAATTCAAGGACAGACGCTCATCACATGGAGGCTGGAAGGAGGGAAGATTAATGGACAAGTCTAGCAGGGAGCATCAAAAGAATCTCTTCAGATGAGGCCACGTGAGGAGGGAGAGAGCAAAAGCTGGCGCTTAGCCAACTCCTGGGAAAAGAAAACAGCAAATTTGGAGTTCCACCCTGCCAAGCCACTCAAAGCCACGTGCTGCTTTTGCGGTGACCAGAGCAGTACCAAAGGGCAGAACTCCAGGACTGCGCAAGCTCCCACTCGTCTGAGGGATCTCCACAGATACATACTCTGAAATATGGTGGCCCTCAGCAGTCAGGGGACATTTGGAGGATCAGTCCCTTCGGTCTTCATTTTAGAACTGGAGAAATTAAGGTCTGACAGACGAAGGTGAAAAGCCCGAGATCACAGAGCCAACCAACAGTAGAAGCAGAACTGGGTTTTGTGCCCCCACTTAAATCAAAATGTCTACCTATTTTTTTCCTTTCAAAGTTTGTGTTCTTTTTGTAATAATCAGTGGATTATTATGTCATAATAATAATTTATGTCATAATCAGTGGATCAACTAAATGACAGAAGATGTCCCAGGGAACATCTCCTAAGAACACGGAAATCAAAAACAGGAGGAGTCAACAGTCGTTAAAAGCCTTTTCCTCTCAGCCACTGAGATCCATAAGTTTGGGGAATCACTAGGTTTTTTTTTCTTTTTTAATGCAGTTCTGTGTTTCCCATCCTGAGTTGGAAAGGGCAGACAAAGGACTCAGAGGATAACAGAAACCCCAAGCCTAGGACTTCTTCTTTTCCAGAGACCAGAGAGAGGCATGTCCCCAGGGTAGAGAGTTTCCAGGGTTAGCAGACTGATAATGCTCTACCTGTCCCTAATCCCTCCTACAACAAAACACGCAAGTACCCAGAATTCAGACTCTACAGCCAGTCCCAATCAGTCATCTCCCTGGAAAAACCCAATCTGTGACATTTATGGCCTGTTCATTTTGAAGTGGAGACATTTCCATTTTCAAATTTGAACAGGAAACTTTTATTCACAAAAGAAAACTACCAAAACCAAAATTGCAAACAGTATTTGGGTCAGTGGGCAGTACTTTCTGGAGACATTTCTTCCCAACATTTGAGTAGACTGAGTTCTATTCCCCTGCTTCTTTCTCCTCTACTGCCCCCAACCCCTCTCTGTACTCCATGAGGTATGTGTGTGTGAGCACAAGGCACTTCTGGAATGAGTGGGTGCTCTGAGAAGTTTGAGTCAAGAGGAGAATTTGTCAGAAGAGTTATGAGAGGACAAGACACTCATAAAGACACTCCTGGCACTTAGGGGGACATTCTTTTATCATTATGCTTGCAGGCTGGCTTTAAAAGTCAACACCACAGAACGGGCCTTCATCCTGTTCCCACTCTGTGCACTGGCTGGAGTGTCTTACCTAGCTGCTTTCCCCTCAGAACACTTCTACCTCAGCAGCAGAGCCGAAGAGATCTGTACCAGCCATTGAGAAGGAACTTCCTAATGGTGGTGTTAACAGAGGCTACACCGTGAGCCACATGATACTCAGGGACCCCTATTTGGTCCCTAGCCTGCATTTGGTCATCTTGATTTGATCTTTCTAGGGGCCTAGGTGTGAAGATGGCTGAGTGGCTGGGACCTGTGTTTGAACTCAGGCTCCATGGTTTCCAGGCTCTGGGTCTTGGTATGGAGCTAAAGGGAAAAAAGTTCCTGGTGGGAATATTTCTTAAACATATGCCCCTGCAGCACGAGACCTATTAGATGGACGCAGATGCTGGTGCGTGATCCACGCCAAGTCTTTGCTGCAGCTGCTGCTGCTGGGGCTCCCTTGACGAAGCTGCCTAAGTGAGATCACTGGCTTGGAACCCAGTTCCAGCAGGTGAGCTGCACATTTCAGGGGTGGGCAGTCCGCTGGACTCAGGGGCTTGGGGGCTTGCTGAGCCACCATCGCTTGCGAGTGGACCATGGTCTCTGTAAACCTTGGAGTGTGCAATCACAAAGTCAGCAGCAGCTGGGATGAACAGGGAACACGCTCTGTAGCACATCCCCACTGTGCCTGTTGCCTGGTGCAGTGTGCCTTTAAGAATTAGCAATGGGTCATTTTCGTTTAGAGGGTATCCTAGCTCACACCTCAGTTTCCCATGGGTCTACTTCTGGGAATAAGTGTGCCTTCTCTTTGCATCATGAAACAGACACTTCCAGGTGGGGATTCCTCAGAACACCAATGTGGAAGCTGTCCTCAGCAGCGAGAGTCAGTGAAGATCAGGAGGTGGTCACCTGCCCTGGTCCTAACTATGGTCATAGCCAGACCACTGTATGTTGCTGAACCTTTCTTACCAAATAGCTGTCCCCAAGGACTCCAGCCTACACTGCCCCCCTCCAGAGTCAGGCTCCACCCCGAGTGGAAAGGTTTCTTTTCCCTTGCTATGGAGCAAGGAGCAGTCCTGAACTAAGGGAAGGAGATGGAAACTAGAACACCAGGACTCATCTCTCTCCATCTAAGCTCTGTTTTCGGGATTCTTCTCCATCTCCGTTGATGAACTGTGAAGTTTGAGTAAGTGCTGAAGTGATGACTTCAATTTATATGTGAGTATCTTCCCTTCCTAGCAAGGCAGTGGGTGGTCCGGGTACTCAGAAGTGAGTATCCCAGCATGGTCTGGCTTGTATTTTCCATACCCACATCATACCCACCATGTATCAAGCACACAGGGTACTTGGTAAACTTATGTAACAATAATTACTTTATATTACAATAATATATGAATGCACATAAATTGATTAAAAAGAAAGCAATTTCCTTTAGATCATGCCTTTCTAAATTTGACCTTTAACCCCAAATCTTATGGAATAGTAATAGAATAGATTATCGAGGTCTCCTTTGATCACTCACTGGTCTACCATCAACAAGGATGTGACTTGGGAACCCTGTTTGCTAAAGCAATTTTGCGCTGTGTGGGTCTCAATAAGCATTAAGTCTGAGCGATGGGCCCCTCCCAAGCCTGCAGTTTCTCCCTCCACTATTCCAAAGCAACACAGCACAGGAGCCAGCGAAAAACACCCTCTGAGCTGGGACTCTATGTTGGTGCAATACCGAATATTCTACATCCTCCACGTGGGAAGCAGCAGCCTCGCATCCCTCTGCAGAGACTTCCATGTTGGTAAAGTGTACTGAGTCAGCCCAGAAAACCCATCAAGCCCAGCTCCAGATGAACTCAGAATCAGCCCCCAGACTTATACACTTCTACTCATGGTGGTGGCAGATACAGCTTTTTACACTCCACTTGCAGAGAAATATTCTACTAATTTATATGTGTGTGTGTGTGTGTGTGTGTGTGTGATACTTCTGCAAGCTTTTCATTATTATCACAAAACCATAGACCTAGAACAGGTTTATTCAATTTCTTGATCTTGATCTTGATCTTATGGACATGAAACTGGAGGCCCAGAGACAGGCAGCCATGAAAAGTCACAGAGCAAGGTGACATCTTCTCTGTGTAGCTTTGTAGACCAGACTGGCCTCCAACTCACAGAGATCCACCTGCCTCTGCCTCCTGAGTTCTGGGATTAAAGGCGTGTGCCACCACCCAGATTGGTTTTTTTTTTTTAGATGAAATCTCACGTAGCTCAGACTGGCCTCAAACTCACTCACTATGTAGCCTAGGATGACCGTGAACTCTGGACCCTTCAGTCTCTGTCTCTCAAGTGCTGGGGTTATAGACATGTAACATCATGCTTTCTTTTTTAATGCAGCGAGTGTTGTTGATTGAATCCTGAGCTTCCTGCATGCTGGACAAATACCCCACCAACTGAGCTACATCTCCAAGCCCTGTCCATTTTGGTGCCCCTTTATTGCTTTCCTATTCTTGTCTTGTCCTTCATGTATTTTTTGTCCCTCATGAGTACTTCCAAACTACGTGTTTACACTTATCAATATCCCCAACATCAGGTAGTATACACCTAGGCAATTAATATACATCCTTTTCATTAAATTGGATTTTGATGTCATGCAGCTGTCTCAGTCCCTCCTCTTCTGTGCCAGAAGGGAGGAGACAAAGCCCTTGGATGACCTTTGGAAAGAGTGTCCACACACGAGTGGAAGGATGAACAGAGTGAAAGTTAAGAAAAACTGAGACCATGTGGAAGAGATCCTCTCAGCTCATCCCTTTCAGTGTGAGTCATTAGGATGTCCCCAAAGGGAGTGGCAATATTAGGAGGTATGGCTTTGCTGGATTAGGTGTGGCCTTGTAGGAGGAAGTGTGTCACTGTGTGGGTGGGCTTTGAGGCCTCATTTGCTCAAGCTCAGTGTGGTAGACAGTTCACTTCCTGTTGCCTATAGACCAAGGTGTAGAACTCTCAGCTCCTACTCCAGCACCATGTCTGCCAGCATGCCACCATGTCCCACCATGATGATAATGGACTGAACCTCTGAAAGTGTAAACCATCCCAATTAAATGTTTTCCTTTGTAAGAGTTGTCATGGCCATGGGGTCTCCTCACAGCAATAGAACGCTAAGACAGACGTGAAGAAGATGAAGATGGCTGACTGAGAGTGTAAGATGCAGGAAGCCATCCACTGAGACGGGTGTTGGGAAATCAGTTGGCCTCCGAATGTGTGGATTTATGAGAGTGACGGTTTGAATTGTTTACGGAATGCTCTCTGATTTGCTGCTATGAAGAAGATTGCCTTGCTTGGGGAGGCAGGCCCCGTGCCGGAGAAGTATGTTTGGGGTCCAGCAGACCACTTCCCACTTTTCTGACCTTGCACCACAGTGAACAGCAGTGAAACCTCTTCTGGAGAGGCCTGTCCTCCTGTCCCAATGTTCCACAAGATCTGGGTTTTCTCTGTCAATGGAAACATCACAAAGTGAGTCCTATTGTCAGCTAGTGATTGCTCTTCTTGGTCACAATGGAAGTGGCTCTGGACATGGGGAGTGCCGAGGAAATCCTGGTGTTAGCACATCGCTGTAAGAACCTTGCAATGGTGTCTTTCAGAATCCTGGTCACATCACCGAATGATGCATTAATTCTGTATCCCCCTCCCCAGGGCAACAAGGTGGCAATAAGAGATTTCCTGAGTCCCAATTAAGCGAGATTAAAGCAAGAAAGAATGGGGCCCGACTGCTCTCCATCTGCCTCCGGGGAGGACGCTGAGAGAAGCACGAGTGAGACCTTAAGATGCAGTCTCTCTGTCCTGAGGACGTGACCAGGTGGGGGAGGCACAATGGCCGTCGTCTCTGAGTGAAGAAATGCTCCATATGCCATCTGGGCACCCCACAGCTGCTTTCTCATATCGTAAGTGTTACCTTACTTAATCATTGCCTGGGGCCTCGGTGTTTTGTTTTGTTTTAACCATGGAAAGGGAAACTGAGGTTAGAGAACATTTTTTTTTAACTGGTGACTCAAATTCAGGTAAGCTACTGCTAAACTAAGCAGTCTTTCCATTGAAATAGGGTTTGGATCCAAGC